CTAGGACAGCCTGCGCTTCAGAAGCTGCAGCCCTGGGTATTTGCCGGGCGGTCGCAGAGGGAACTAGTGAGATGGAGGTCCGAGGGGGAGTCTTGGGGCCACGTGGAGAAGGCTGTTCCTGGTGGGGGAGCAGAGAGGGTGGCGGCTGCAGGGTGATGGTGCAGTGAGGCTGCAGGTGGTGTAGCAGGCCCCGGCCAGCCTGGGGAAGATGGGCACAGAGAGGATGGGGGGCTCTCTGGGTGGTCTCTGAGCGGCCATAGCTGGTTTCGAGTGGAGCGACCCCCATGCAAGAATGGGGGACTCCGGAAGAATGTCTGAGAAAGGAGCCAAGGCAGGGACCCTCAGACTGAGGACTGCCCCCACTGACTTGTTGGGGAGGATCCGGACAACAGTTAATCCCACATTTTAAAAATTCTTTTGACATTATAATTTTCCAGTGCAATTTATTTTGGATTTCTCTGTAGTGCCTAAGAACAAAATTATTTTAAAACTGAGAGCTATTTGTGTGCTTGTGCTGGAAATGATGAGGTAGGGGAGGCTGGAGAGACTGTAGATCACCCAGCAGGAGCTCGGTGCGTGGGAAGGGGTCTGCATGGCAGCATGGTGGGAAGAGGTGGGGGTGGAACATGAACTGGGGCCTGCGTGTTCCAGGCCCTCTTTGTGGTGCTTTACATCAAGAACCCGATTCCCACTTTATAGTTGAGAAAATGAATGCTCAGAGAAGTTCAGTAACTGACTCAAGGTCACAGAGCTGGTCAAGTGGTCAAGTGGTCAAGACGGGAGGCCAGGCCTTCCTCAAAGTCCATTCGCTTTCCGTTTCACTGACGTACAGGCCAGGTCCCTGAAGGAGGAATGGGGCAGGTGGTGAGGTTTGCTCTGAGGTTGACCTGCTCCCAGAGGCCTGGGGTGCCCAGAGAATGGCCCGGGGCTCATGCATTCAGAGGCTGTCCTGCTTCCCCTTGGGCCTGGAGGTGGCTTTGGGCGGGAAGCTGCTCGTCACTGCCCTGGGCTGACTGCGAGGGATAAACCAGGCTCTTGGTGCTGCGTGCCTGCCCCAACCTCATCCTGCACCTTGGCTCCAGCTGGAGGCGGGGAAGGTTTAGTGGAGGGGTCCTCACATCGTCTTGGGGTCTTGCATTCAACTTTGGGGTGAATTCCTTAGGGACTCTTCATCAACACACTGCCTGTGGTTCTGAAAAGTTGCGCAGCAGACTGTGTGCCTCTGTGTGCGTGCCTGTGCGTGTGTGTGTGCACGTGCGTGCATTTGGCAGCTGGAGTGGCACAGGAGCTAACTTTGGCAGTGCTGGGGATCAAGGGGAGGTGTGAGGTTCTGCATTTTGGGAAAACAGTCCCTGGCACAGGTAGTTCCGTCGGCTGGGTCCCCTCTCTTGGCTGAAGGGGAAGAGGGAATGCCAGCTCTGGGCTTAGCTTGCCAGGGCCTTGGCCTGACCTCTTTGTGCGAGATGGTGACTTCGGTGGTGACCTTCATGGATGGAGAGGGCCAGGAGCAGGGCTGGTAGAGGTAGGCGGCGCTCCTGGCCTCCTTCCTCTGCCCGCCTGCGGCTGATCTCTGGAGGTGGCGTCCGTGACAAGCCCCATCTGTTTGGGCCTAAGGGCTCTGTGTTCCCAATGTGGCCCAGGGTCTGTGTTGAGGGTTGAATCGTGTCCCTCTACCACCACCACCAAAAGTAGGTTGAAGTCCTCACCCCCAGGACCTCAGAATGGGACCGTATTTGGAAATAGGGCAGTTGCAGATGCAAGTAGTTAAGAAGAGGTGATAATGGAGTGGGGTGGGCCCCTAATGCTGCCTGACAGTGTCCCTCAGGAAGCTGACTCCGTGAAGGCAGAGGCCCAGGGAGGAGGCCATGTAAGATGGAGTTATGCGGCTGCAAGCCCAGGAAGGCAGAGAGTGCCCGCACACCAGCCGCAGCGAGGAAGGGTTGCCCGCAGGTCGCAGCGGGAGTGTGGCCCTGCCGGCCACCTGCTTTCAGACTTCCAGCCTCCAGGACTGAGAGACAGGAAATTTTCATTTTCAGCCACCCAGTTCGTGGTGCTTTGTTATTGCAGCCAGGAAACTAACATGGTGTGGGTGCTGACGGGCGCACGGGAGCCTCCCTCCATCCCGGCTCACGGCCCCTCCTTGGAGAAGGGCCCCTCTTGTGCTTCGTCTCCATCATTCCTCCTTGCAGTTGGCCCCTTCTGTTTCCATAAGCTCCTCTTCCCAAACCTGGAAGCACATTTATTTTCCTTAAAACACCCCTGGGAATGGGGACAGGGCCCGTAGCTGGAAGGGAGGGATGGGGAGGGGAGGGGAGGGGAGAATGCTGTATAGACAATACTAAGCTCAGCAACTGCCAGTTCTTTCTAAGACGCTCCAATCAGAACCCGGGAATGTTGCTGCCTCACCTTGTGCCGCCTCTTGTTGGGAGCTCCTCGTCCTGTGTATCCTGCAATCTCAGAGCTCCCTGCCTCCTCTGGGCCCCTGCCATGAGGGCATATGAGTCACCTGGAGTCTGATCCGTTCCTTCAGCTCCCGGAGTCTCCTGTGCCAGGCAGCCTTCCCTGACTTCCCTTCCCTTCTCTGTCCTCTGAACATGCTTCCTAGACCTGGGCCCCTGCTCTGTGCTGTCTCACTCATCGGTTCTCTTTTCACGTGTGTGTCCTGCCTGCCCAGCTAGCCTGAGGTCCCCAGGCGTCCTGTCTTATTCATCCTCACCCTCAGGCCAGCACACGGCACGGGGAAGTCCATGCTCAGCACATTAAAGCTGCGGCCAAAGACAATGGTGCCGGCTGTCCAGGGAAGCCCAGCCCTTCCCAGGGGCCTGTGTGGCCCTGCATCACCCAAAGTCCCGCTCTCTCTCCTCATGCACATTGAGCACTGGCTGAAGGCTATGGAGGACGGTGGAACACCAAGGGCAGGGGCTGCCTTAGCAGCACCTCGTGATGAGCTGCCTTGAGGAAATAATGGCCTGTGAGGGTTTAACCGCTGGGTCCCGGTGGAACACGACCCTGCCTTGGGAATCTTGTGTATCCCCACCCAGAGCACATCAGGACTGCAGGCTACAGGCTGTGACCCAAGGGGCTTGCTTCCGTGTTTGCAGAAGGGCATGGGGCTCTGACTTCATTTCTGCTGGCCTAAAATCCCCGGGCCTGGCGTTTCCAGGGGCCGGGGAGCATCACGACGTGCTCCAGTGGTTTTGCTGCACTCTGTGATTACACAGGCTGATGGAACAAAGTCACTGTTGCTCAAATGCACTTTTATAAAACTCCGAAACACTCCTCTGGGACTCTTCTGTGCCCCGGCTCGGTCCAGCTCAGCTCAGGCCTGTTGAAAAATCTTTGTGAGGTTGTGGTGCTGTTTCCAGGGGGCGTGTGTGTCAGAGAGAGACAGAGCAGAAGGAGAGAGGGAAATTGAGAGACTCCGATGGACGCAGTGGCTGTGCCGAGACACTTTCCCATTTGTGAGCTGGTGGCAGCTCTGGCTCGCCATAGAGTTGGGAGAGCTCCAGTCCTTCCACTTCTTGGCGTCCCCAGCACTCCCTGTCGCTGAGTGTGGCCAGAGGCTGTGCAGGTGTGTCCCGGGAGAAGCCGGAACAATGCTGCTCTGTGTGGCTTTGGCCTCGGTGCTGCCTTATCAAAGCCCTGGCATTTCTGGCTGTGGGCAGGGGAGGCTTGGCCTGCACCTCCCCCTTCACCCCACTAGGGATGAGGCTGTCCTTGTGCCAGGCAGCGATCTCCCACTGGGGCCCCAGAAATGCTTGTGGGCTCTTGCAGGTATATGGTGCGTACCTGAGAGAATCGGCTTCACCCATTCCACCTCCCGGGAGAGGACAGGCTTCTGTGGAGGGTCAGGAAGGCCTAGACAAGGGCAGGGTCTGAAGGAGGTTGGTGGGCCTCACCTTGAGGCATGAGGGGCATGAGCGGTAGAACTTCTAAAGGCAATCCCAGAAAGTGATTGGAGCTTCAGACCACTGAGTGAGAAGGTTGCAGGCTCCTGGAATCTCTGCGTGCCCCTACATTTGTCCAGGTGCTCCCCTGCAGACACTCGTGGGAGAACTTGTACAAGGATGTGGCCCACGTGCTCTTCTTTACGGTTGTAACAGAAGGGCGCAGCTGGGAGAGTGGGGGGGTCTCAGCCCAGAACTCCGCAAAAGAGTGGGGAGAAGAGGAGACCCACTCCCACCCCCACCCCAGGATAGGATGTGAGAGGCAGCTTTAAAGAGAGTCCAAATGTGCTGAATTTTGGAGCACCTGGCTCTGCCTCTCTGGGCCTCAGTTTCCCCATCTCTAAGATAGTCCCCAAGGCTCTTTTCAACTCTGGTCATTACGATCTGCTTCCACAGAAGTAAACATTGTCCATGAAGCGTGTACTTTCCCCCCGAAGCACCTGGTTTGGGATGTTGTCTGTAGGCTATTCCGGCTGGGTGAGGGAAGCGCCCCGCGGTTCCAGATGGGGCAGGGCCAGAGACGGGTGACAGCCCTTCCCCTTGATGATATTGCCTTTGTCTCCGCAGGTACTTTTTAATTTGTTAAGACCTGTTCTCCCCTATAACTGCAAACATCCCTGTGACCAGGCCGGGCAGTGATTACCTACGTTTTACAGACTGGCAAAACGAGGCCCAGAAATGCTAGGTCCTTCCCCAGGGATCCATGGCCCCCGGTGACTCATGTAAATTAGTAGAAAAAGCACCAGTCTGAAGCCAGATGATCTGACCTTGAGAAAGTCACTGAAGTCCCTAGGCCCTAATTTCCTGTCTGTAAAGTGGCAATAATGACGTTTGCAGGGTCACACACAGTAACGGAGCTGAAGCAGCCTGTAGTGCACTTGTTAACTTTCACATGCGTGGTGGCTGGAGAGCAGGGTGTCATTCCCACTGTGTCACCCATCCTCCACTTCTCTGCTGCCTGCCATTCCCTCCAGGAGCTGAACACAATCTCCCAGGGTCTTTCCCCAGGAGTCCTGCCTGGCCCCTAATCCCCCTGCGCTTCTTTCCCTCCAGACTGTAAGTTCACCTGCCACCCGGAGTGCCGCAGCCTGATCCAGCTGGACTGCAGTCGGCAGGAAGGCCCAGCGCAGGACAGACCCTCTCCAGAGAGCACCCTCACTCCAAACTTCGGCCAGGTAGGCAGCAAAGCTGGAAGACCAGGCTGGGAAAAGCCTCTGCAGGTGCCCCGGGCCCCACGCTCGCTCCCAGGAGCTCTGGTGAGCAGGAGGTGGCGTGAGTATTCCACGGAAGCTGGATGTTGGGGTCTCCTTCTGGCCAGATGTGGTCCACAGACCCACACTCCAATTCTGCAGCCAATTCCCGTGTGTTTGTGGTTTTCCCACACCACCAAAGCAATTCTCTGTCACCAGCTGGGTGTCCTACAATTCAGTTCAACTCTGACACTATCTGTCCCCCACCCCCCGCTTCAGATGCCATCGCAGGTCCAGGCGTCACCAGTGCTTCTGACTGATGGACTATAGGTCGGAGGTTCCCACAGCCCCCTCCTTGGGTTCAATTACTTTGCTAGAGTGGCTCACAGAGCTCGGCGCAACATTTTACTGACTAGATCACAGGTTTTATATAAAGGACGTAACTCAGGGACAGCCAGATAGAAGAGATGCACAGGGCAAGGTGTGTGGAGCATGGCGTGGGGCCTCCAGCCTTCTCCCAGGACCTCTCACCCACCACCTCCACGTGTTCACCAGCCGAGTCCCATCCTTTTGGGTTTTGATGGAGGCTTCGTCACATAGGCAGGATTGATTGAATCACTGGACATTGGCGATTGCCTTAACTACCAGCCCTTCTCCCCTCCTTAGAGGTCAGAGGTCAGGGGTGAGACTGAAAGTTTCAATCCTCTAATCACATGGCTGGTTCTCCTGGCAACCTGCCCCCATCCTTAGGTGGGATCCAAAAGTTATCTTATTAACATAACAAGAGATAACTTTATCGCTCTCATCACTTAGGAAGTTCCAAGGCTTTGGGGAGCTCTGTGCCAGAAATGGGGACAAAGACCAAACATGCACTGCTTATGATAAATCGCAGTATCACACAGCCCTGCCCGGAGGACCTGGGGGGAAGGAACAGAAATGGTGACACAGAGAAGTCTGTGGCTGTGAGAAGTCCCCTGCAGTCCTCCCCAGGCACTGAGCCTGCTTTGGCCTGTCACTCTGAGCCAGAGGTGTGGGGATGGGTGGGGGCGGGGGTCCCAGAGAAGGCTCCTGGAGATGCTTGGGGCCTCATAGCCCTGGGGCAGTGGGGATGTTGGGGCTGAGGTTTCTTGAGCATAACATCCTGCCCGCCAGTCAGCCAGCCAGGCCAGACCACCTTCGGAGGGGCTGGGCCAATGTTCCCTCCTGGCGTTAAAGGACCAGGAAATGGAGGCGCAAAGCAGCTCTTGGCTCCGGCCTCTGCCAAGGCTCTTGAGCCAGGATTGTCTGAATGTTACCCTGTGAAATTGGAGTTCTCCTACGTGATGTGCATAAAAGAAGCCAATTATTACAGCATCAGCTTTTGGGAAAAGAAAACAGCTTTATTGTTAAATGGATCTGCTAGGAGACAGGAGGCGTGTGCTCTCAGATCTGTCTCCTGATCCAGGGCTGGGGGCACAATCTGTGGGATGAAGGGTGGTCTGAAGAGGGGGGATAGGCGATTGGAGGAGAGGAGAAGTGAGATAATTGATGTTCTGCGCAAGTGTGGTCAAGCTCCATGGCTCTTTGTAGGACTTTGTAGGACTTTGTAGGACACATACGCACAAAATGCTGGCGTTAGTGTGATCCGAGGGTGGAGTTTACAGCCCTTTGATGTCCAAAGGGTCATTTACCAGGCATTTGCACAGGCCCAGTTGATGGGTTGGTGGTCTCAACCAGTCTCAACTGGACAAGGGGGGTACTCTCGGATCCTGCAAAATAACTCCTAATTACTCTGTTGATAAGATGGGGTCAGTTGAACTGGTCCTGGTAGGCCCATGTTTACATAAACTTTGATGTCTAGAATTTGGAAGGGAGACAGGAAAACATCTTTTTGATTCTTGCATTGAACAAGCATTTAGTGAGTATCTACTTTGTGCCAAGCACTGGTGAGAGTGAGGATAAGAAATGATACATCATAGTTCTCCCCCTCAGAGAGCTTACATTCTGGCTGGGGAGGCAGAATACAACCAAATAATATATACTGTAATGCATGTTGCAATAAAAGTAGCAATCAAGTGTTTTGAGTATACTGTGCACTTGTTTCTGTTGGGAGAAATCAGAGTAGGCTTCCCAGAGGAGGTGACATTTGAGCTGAGCCTTAATGTATGAGTTGAAGGTTGCTGGTCCAGGAAGGAAGGAGTGTTCCAGGACATCATCCACTTATTCATTTAACAAATATGTTTTGAATGTTGACCATGTGCCAAGTCCAGGAATGCCAGGGACTTAGTGATGAAGGGAGCAGACATAGCCCCTACCCTTCCCGTGCTTGCAGTTAGAGTCTATGTACAAGACTTTAAACAAATCAAGCCCATGTTTATGAGGGAAAAGCCCAGGGTGCTGGGAGAGATAATACAGACGCGGAACGACTGGTTATTTCCTGAATCGAATACCTCTCTCTTCTTTCTGCTCCCCTCGCCCCTGGAGCCCTGTCCCCCGACTACTTCCTGGGTCTCCCCTTTGGGTCTCTCTAGTCTTTCCTCTAGAACAGCAGGTCTCAAAAGAGAATGATTTTGCCCCCTCCCCCTTGGGAACATCTGGTAGTTTCTGGAGACGTTTGCGGTTGTCACAATTGGCACAATTGGCTACTGGCATGTAGTGGGCAGAGGCCAGGGACGCTGCTAGGCATCCGACATTGCACAGGACAGGCTCCCACAACAAAGAATCATCTGGCCAAACTGTCGGCAGTGCCGAGGTCGAGAAGCCCCACCCCAGAGCGGTGCAGCCAGCCAGCTCCCAAGGGTGGCGGGCGAGAGGCCCGAGCAGGGCCTGGGTTTGCTGGAGACATCGTCTCGTCCTCAGAATGGCCCCCACGAACAGGTGCTTCCGAGTCTGAGCATTCGGAAGCAGAGTGATGCCCTTGCCTCTGCCGGGGGAGCAGCCAGCCTTGGAACCCTGCGGCAGGCTAGCTGGGGCTGTGTCTCGAGTAGAGCCGCTGCTGCGACACAGAAGGAGCCACGAGTCGCGCGTGGGCGCTGAGCGGCCCCAGCCGCGGAGAGCCTGGCGCGGGCGGCCGGCGGGCTGTGTGTTTGCCTTGGACAGGCCCGAGTGCGCTCAGCACGCCGGCAGGACCAGCTTCTGTCAACAACACCCGGGCCCTCCAGGCGGCCGGCCCTCTCTGAAAGGCTGGTTTGTGCTGATTTCCGCCTTGGCTCACTTTCTGTTGAATACCAGGAGGGAGCCTTCTTTCACCTTGACATCGTTGCCTGGCCCGGGCTCACCTAATGTGCCAGCGCCATTCTCCAGGGGTTACTGGGGCTGGGGCCCCGGTCTGAGCTCAGCGGGCTGAGGGGCATGTGGCTGTTAGAGGTCTCAGCTTGGTGGCATTTCTCCTCTCTGCTCTTTAAGGAAAAGAAAATCATTCCTTTTCCTCCATCCAGAGAGAACCACTGCTAGTTAACATTGTTCTGTCTTCTTTCTGTGCATTCCTACGTTTTTCAAAACGTGGTTGAGATCCTCCTGTAGATAAGTATTTGGCCTCAACCTTTGAAAGGCAGTACTCCCAAGGCGCTGGCTGTCTTTTCTCCGTGGTGCCAGAGGTAGGTAGGCAGGCAGGGAGGAAGCAGGGAGAGGTGAGTGAGGGGGCGGGGATGGGCCGGAGCCCCCAGCGGCACACACAGGGCCGCGAGGGTTGTGCGCGTCTCCCGGGAGAAACAGAGGAAGGGTGGCAGGTGGCTGTCGTGCTTTTGCCAGCCACAGAGGCAGGGTTTTGGAGTCTCTCCTGGGAGAGCTCCGGGGTGCCTGACTTCGCCCTTGGACACCCATTGTTGACCAAACAAGTCTCCTTCAAGTCCACCACAGAGCCCTTCTTCAGTTTAAGGCTGTTTCCTAGAGAAACATCATTGCCATTGGCTGAAAACCACAATAAATTGCCAAAACAGCTGCCCTTCCTTTATTTGGGGGCACGCCCCAAGGCCTTTATACTGCAGGGGGCCTTCAGGGTGCTCTCATCATTGTCACCCCTGTGATGAAAAACCCCTCGGGGCCCCCAGTGCCCTCGTGATGAAGGGAGACCTCTGCTGGTGAGGCCCAGTCCTTTCAGGGCCTCTGGGGACGCGCCCCCAGGAGAGGGAGCCCTTGCCGGGCTGCTGGGCTGCTGGCTCTCCTCGTAACCCCTGCAGCCCCGGGGGTCCGGAGCTCTGGCCCTCTGGCCTTTGGTGCCACTTTTCTTGGGACATGGACTGCACGGATGACGAGAAAAAACACAAACACTCTTCCTTCCACTCAGATCACTCTCAGCCAGGGACTGAATCCTCTCCTGGTCCTCCGGAATCCAGGAGCAGCGTTCAAAACCCAGCCTCCCAGGTCCCGGCGCAGAGGCCAGTCCTCCCACAGCTGTTCCCAAACCCTCTCAGGCACTTTCCACACTTAGGATTCTGGCCACGTCCATGTTCCACCTGTGCTATTATTGACTTAATATCTCTCTTTAAATAGACTCATTTTTTTTGAACTTAAATAAACTTATGCTAAAGGAAATTTAAAAATCCTTGAATCACTGTTTGATGTACTTAGGATTTTTTTCCTGGACACACATTAAATTAATATTTAATCTCTAAAATAAAAAAGAAACATGTCCTCCCACACGTATGTGTTGAGCCAGGCTCTGTTCTAAAATCCTTTCAGGTGCCATCAGTGGGGACTGCGCCTGCAGAGGCACTCTCTTTGGTCGTCCGGTGCCTGGACTCCCAGGGCATTGGGTCCAGCAGGAGCCTCAGGGGCACTGTGAGCAGTATAGAGAGGTCCCAGGGAGGCGGAAAGGACGTGCCAGCCATCCACACTAATAGCAAGGTGCTCCTCCAAGGGAGAGATGCCCCGTCTGTCTGATGGGGATGTTGTGAAGTGAAAACCAGTCACCCACAGCACATCCAGGACAAGCCCATTTGTATTTTGTACACATATATATGTGTGTGTTTGTATAAATGCAGAGCGAGGGCCGGGACAATGCCCAG